GTCAATAAGAAATGCAGAGATTTGGGGCCTGTATAAGGAATCCAGGAAGCTGCCCTCAGAGCAAGTTTTTGGGTTTTTTTTCCAGAGGTACATTTCTCTGAACATACTAGTGCCTTGTACAGTTACTGGAAAGGAGGATGTAAATAAATACACAGGCAGAGAAATTACACTGCCAGCTCAGGTCTCTAGTGCACAATAACTGTCGTATCAGAACACATCCTTCCCTCCTTCCTCATGCATAACTCAGCAAAGGGTGATGTGACTGGCACACTCTGCTCAGGGTGCCCTGCATGGCACAAGTGGAGAACCAGAATCAACTCTTACTCCGTGGGCAGATTGAGAAATCTCCTGGGGACACTGTGGAAGGTTGATGGAAAAGGAAACTACTGCCTTCAGCAATCCCTGCAGACCCAAGCTGGGGACACAAGGTGCTGCTTCTGCTTCTGCTGACATTAGCAGAAACCTGAGGAACTCAGTACTTTTAGAAAATGCAGAGCATCTCACAGAATCAGTCCCTGGTGGGTTTTGGGGATTTTTGGGGTGTTTTTTGCAGTAAGCCTGTACTTGGGTTTGGTTTTTCAGCTCCTTCCAAACACACAAAATATACACTCTGCTATTCTACTTTCCCCCCCCCAACAGGAGAGAACAACATGATTCTGGGTCTGCCTGCAGGTATGCACGGCTGCCATTAGCTTGCACAGAGTACTTATTTACTAGAAGTGAGGTTGGTAACAGATGGATAGGTTTGTAATAAAAGACAGGTTTAATTTACCTGATAAATATGCATGTAACCTATTCTCATCCATTCTTCACTTTCTAGTTTTAAAGCAATGTTCTGGTTTTGTGCAAAAACCTGCAAACCTCTGTTGTGCAAGTACAGTGCGGGGATTAGCATGTGCTTAATCAATTCATATGTGGTGTTTGAAGTAATTATAAATTGCTGGCCTGAATGTAAAAGCTGGTCCATAGAAGTTAAAGAGATTTTCACATCAGCATTTGAGGATGCACAAATGCTATTGTTCCCTATTGATAACAGGACTTCCTAGTGACAGGCAGGTACTTTGGATGCCAACATTGGGATGTACAGGTAATTAAATAAATGTATCTAGAAAGCTTCTTTCAGCAGTGCATGCTGTATAACTGATCTGACAGCACATGACGAACTAGAATTTCTAGAGCACTGTTGATCTGCAGTCTGAACTGGGAGCAAACCGTGATGCTCATAATTTATTAGAAGAGACATTAGCCCTTTCTGTCACTGAGTGTGACATTTAAATATTTAGATACGCACTGAGCTTAACCATTGTGGCTCATTTCTGTTAATTTCTAGTTGGGCAGTGTGGCATCAGGTACATGTGGTTGTGCACATGCCTGCTTCTCCTGTGGTGGTTCTCCTTCATGTGGCTAAAGATGCAGAAATAACAAAATTCTCTCCTTTTTTTTTCTTTTTTTTTTTTTTTGAGAATATCTGCCTGCATAGAACTCAAGAACAGAAATAGAGATGTGAAGAACCAGCTGTCCATGCAAATAGGCTGAAGGAAAGCACATTTAATTGCATTTTCAGTTCAGGGACAAAGGTGCCAGTACTCTCATGCCTGTCTGGACAGCTGGCTGGGCAGTCCTGCCTGTGGTTTGCACGGGTTTTGTCTTATACAGCAGCTGCAGCCCTGAGCTGGTTGTTTCACTCATATGGCATATGAATTTGGTGTTCCCCCATTCTGCACATAAGCCATGTGGTTGTAGAGGTCTTCAAGTGGCTGGGAACACTGTTAGAAACTGCATTTCTTCTGGAAATGCAGGAGGGAAGAGATGGTGGAGAGTTTGTAGGAAGGTAGCATGAGGAACTAGGTGGAGTGCTCTTGGTAAGGATGTAAGAGGAGGAACTGCTTATGTCTGGACAGCCTAAAGAAGTGTTTGCTTGGTTGCTTAAGCACACAGCAAGTAGGAGAGCAGTTAGGAGAAAGTACATACTGCCCTGTGTTTGTATATAGCCTTGCTCCCAGGTTTGTCACATCTTCATCCAGGCTGTTTTCTGTGACCTGTGCCATCTCTCCAGAAGAGAGAGATGCTTCTGAAGGTTTCTCTGTCAAATGTCCAGGATGTAGTTTGATACTGTGGAAAAATGAACCAAAGGCACAGGAAGAAGATTTCATCTGGGAAAGAGGGGCTTGGCTTGGACATACCAGTAAGTGGAGCACCAGCATTAACCAGGGAGTTTGCACAAAGAAGCCCAAGACAATAGAGATGACAAGAGTGGGACATCTTGATCTGAAAAGACAGCTGATTAGTCAAGTAAAGAAACTAAACAATGCTGGAAAGCTCATATAAAAGCCCCACGCTCAGAAGTCTGAGCCTGACAGGCCCTTTCACCAGGTTCAACACACAGGCCATGACCACAGATGTGTGTGGGCTTCTGGGAGGACTTGCCTAGGCTGTAGCTCGGTGACGGGTGCATATTCATACCTTGTAGGCAGTACAATTTTTCAAACACACATTAGCTCCTTGGCTTTGCAATTATGTTTTTATTATTGACAAGATGTTCTGCTTTGCAGGGTTGCGAATATTTTCTTTGAGCCACCAGAGGTCATTCGGGTTACTCAGCCCTAAAAGTAGCTCCTCCCTGTCCTATCAAAGACATGCGTGGGACTTGTAAAACATGCTCTGGATTGCCATATTGCTTAATTATCCTCTTAGCTCTAATGAAGTGCACCCTGACTAATGATGCAGTCACAAACAATGTGTTGCTATAATTTGGGTCATCACTAAGAACTTCTGTTATCACTAGACCCATCAAGGTAGTGTTTCAGAATGCTGAAGAGCAGTGTTACCTCATAAAAACCCCAACCACTTAGGCACCAAGAACATAGCTGAAGGGGACCAGTACTCTGACATGAGCTGTGCTTTCAGCGTGCCCCGAAGGTCTGCAGTGCAGGTGTCTGGCAGGAAGAGCTAGGAGTCACCTAGGAGGCCAGATTTTTCTCTGTCACACTGCTGCAATCCCAGACGACCCAGAGTTTTTGCAGAGAAGCAGCACTGATTGTGGAAGTAACCAACAATTTTTGTTTTCATTTTGTCCTGCCAAGCACTGTTAAGGTAAACAGGGTGGTGTAATGGGAGCGCTCTGTCTCTGGTTTTGAAATGGGAAATGAGCCACCTAATAAGATGTCTCTTTTCTGATTTATTTTTATTTTTTTTTTTAAAGTTAAGGTTGTCAAAAATTGATGCAAAGGGCAGGGTACTGTGGTTAGGCGAATATGGACTAGCTTTGAGACTGGGGATCAAAATGCTGCTGCACAGTTGCTTTGCAGATGTCAAGGGCTCCTGGGAGTCAGCAGTCAAAATTCCTTACTCTCCTGTGATGGCTTATTGATGTGAGCTCTCTCATTCAGTGACATACCCTCCTCTCAGGATGATCCTTTCTTGCAAGGTCTTATCCCAGTTCTCACAAAAACACTTCTGAGGCACAAGCTTTTGGCCTTCAGCCTGGGTTGGATTGCAGTACATGGGAGGTATTTCTCAAGCAAGTCCCAGGGAAAGATCGGTGCTCTTCCCTTCTCCCAGCAGATCTTTGCCTGTGCTCACAGAATCTTGCTTCAAGCCAAATTGAACTGGATGCTCAGCTAATAACCTTTTTTCTTCTTTTTCTTTCTTTCTTTCTTTTTTTTTAAATTTTATTTTTGTGTAAATGAGGTAGAAATATCCCTTCCTCAGATGCTGTATATAAATGCATTTCCTAGGTGGTGGCATTTCTTAATGTTCTGAGTGAATGTCTTCATGGACCTGAGCTCAGGGTGTGGGAAAATTCATCCCCTCTTCTTAGTGGTCTCCCATCTTTCTCCTGCAAAATCCAGGATTTAGCATATGTCAAGGGGATAATTTCTATGGAAGCCCAGAGTTTAAAAAAAATATATTGGCTGCAGTGAGAAGGTTCAAGAAGAGTTCAGATCCAGACCGAACTTTGAAGCCATTTCCTGTGTTGGTAATGGACTGGGGGGGAAGGAAAAGAAAAAAAAAGAAATCCTGGCTTTTTTAGGAGAGCTTTGGATTTGTAGCTGAACTTTGTGATCCTGCCCCTTCTCTATGTAACACAGCTATTTTTCTTGTACTCAGAATGATGTATTATGTATAGTATGGATGTTTATATGTATTTTCACCTCCAGCTAACAATACCTGCTTGAATCTGTTAAGACTATTTTATAAAAAGTGCTGAAGGGAGGAAAATTGCAGAGGGCACTGAATGGTTGGGTATGTTGCTGACTATTTTAAATCTGAAACTTCTCTCTAATGCAGCTTTGCTGGTCTTGACTTTTCTTGTGAAGGAAGGAGCCTCTTTGCTCCAAAGCAGTTGGTTAGAGCCAACTATGGGTCCCACGTGCTCTCAGCTCCCAATTAACAGTGCCCTCAGCCCTAGTGCGTTTTACTCCAAGTCAGGATCTGACCCAACTTGTCTGGTGTCACAAATCACCACCCAACCTTTCTCCCTGCTTCCTGTTTCTCCAAGTTTTAACTGCCAGCTCCTAGTTGTTGTTTTATCCACCTTACTTTGCTGCAGGATTACGTGGAAGGTGGTAATCTTGTGGGTAAATTTAAGGAGACCAGCAGATTTGTGCAGAACTACTGGACTTTGCTCTAAGGAAGGTTTTAATTTTGGTGATGAAAGCTGGTGGTTTTATACAGCACTGTCCTCTTTGAAAAGAAAGTGTGTGGGGCTTATGTCTTGGACCTTCCAGCTGAATAATGATCAGAAGTTGTATTTGCATGTAAATTAAAGTCTGTCCTCTGTTAATATTCCAGTTGCTCCTATCTGTCTCTGGCCTTCTCATCTGTTTATCATTTGTGTGCTCTGTGAGCACAGTAGGAGCGAGATACCTGTTTACTGTCACAATACTGCTTTTAAATTGGGCTGTGTAAATTGGCTGGAGATACTTGCTCTTGTTTTGGGATCTCCAGGCATGGTGGTTGATGGCAATATCACGTGACTTGTGCATTTTGTTGTGCAGGCAACAGCATGGGGTTCAGATGAAGACACCAGGAGGTCCTGTCAAAGTAAAGGTAAAACAGAGGTAAGTTTTTCTTTGCTACAATGATGCTATGGGTAAATTTATTTGCATCATGTGAAATCCACACAGGGAGCATCTGACACCAGCTTGAGCTTGTAAATTTGCAGCAGTTTAGATCTACCAATATAGGTGTATAAGCACCACTCAGTTAGCCATTTCAAAGGCCCCCTGTCCAAGTTACTAGGCTTGCTCTGCATGAAATTTTAAGGTGATTTTGCTCCTGGAAAGGATTTAATTTGTGACACATCAAGGAGCAGTGGTGGCAAGCCAGGGATAACATCTTTCAGTGGGGTCTGAGGTGGGGCAGGTTGGCTTAGTCTAGGTACTCAGCAGTGAGCTGCTGGCATTCAGCCACATGGGCTTCAATGCTTGTTTGCAGTTAGAGTTCATCTTTGTTTAATTCACTGGAACATGAGAATTGAATCTGCTAGCGCACTGCAGTCTGATCAAGTGCAATATCAGAGCTCCTTCGGAGGCAGGTGCTGTCTCTAAACTCCAGATTAACGAAAGAATTGATTGAATAAATGCATGCTGTCCCAGAGGTTCAGAGTTGCAGGCATTTCTGATCCAAAGTCCCTTCTGCCCCTCTTCTGAGAAGCTAAAGCAAAGCCATCTAAAGCAGGAATTATTTTGATTTTTCAAATGTGACGTTAGTACTGTTAAAAAATCTTCAAGCCTCAACTGAGAGAGTGTCCTATTGTGGTTAATACTCCACCACAAGCAGTTCTCAGCCTAAACCAAAGGAGGTGGACAAAGGATAAGGGAGGATAAGCACAATCTTTGCTTAGACATGGACAGTCAAGCAGAGAGTCATCGTGTGGCTGGCCCAAGATGCTGGAATTCTGCCAAGTTCCAGTTCAGTGCTTTAAACATAGGATTATATGATCTTCCATTGACCACATTCATTTGATATAATAACCTTTACATGGTTACTGTATTAACTGGTATATGCACAAAAAAGCTATCTTAAACTTTGGCGTCAATATGCTTCATGTAGCTGTAGAGCACAGTAGTATAGAACATCTGTTAGAGTTTCATGTAGGATCTACATTATGCAGGAAAACACCACGGAAGCAGAATGGGTTAGGCTGCCAAACAGGGCCTGCCATGAAAAGAAAGAACCCAATAGAAGTTGTACAAAACTAAAATACTCCAAAACCCAAGACATGAGGATTTTTGGAATTTGTAGTCTTTGTACTTCAAAATATGTAAAGAAAGGATTTTTTTCTTTTCTTCCGTTGTGAAGTTTGTAAGATTTAGATTGTATCCAGTTGTTCATGAAGAATTTTAATTTATAACCCAGAATTATTTTGTCAAGCCCTGGATAAAGCCATGCATTCGACAGAACAAATTCTAGAATAATTTCAATTTATCTTTTTTACTGTCATGCCAAAAGAAAGCCATGGTCTGAGTACCTGCTCTGTTGCTGCCTCCTCACACTGCAGAGTTTGCCAAAACTGTCATGAGGATAATGCTTTGAACAGCTGCGTTTATGTTGATTGTGATCCAGAGCTTGAAACTGTTTGGTGGGCACGGTGGGCACAGTGGTCACGGGTGTGAAGTTCTGAGGAACAATAATGAAGCAGACTGTTAGACACTTCTTGACATAGAATTAATGACAAGCAGAGATGTTGACTAAGAGTCTGACAAGAAGAAATAGAGCTACAAAGGCAGAAAGATTCTGCCAGTGGCTAAGTAAACTCACATCTCCGAAGTCTGTATCTACTCTAATCTGTGTCCCTCTTGGGGCAAGTCTACACATTCCTTGTTTACACTGCAGACAAATGACTTGGTGCTAGCTCCAAAGATACTGAGGTTAGCCTGGCCAGCTGGTGAAGTGCTCTGCTCCAACTAAGAAATCCAGCTCTGACCCAGCATCTCTGCCTTTGGCTGGGTAAATGCAGCAAGTGAGGGCAGCATTAATGTGAAACACTTCTGATTCCACTGTGCAATGGTGGTGGTACAAGATGCAGAGTCCTGTCTGCCTCAGATCTGCTTTGTCAAAACTTGACTAATGGCAGTTTTCTACCTAGCATAGATGATTTGATGATAAATACGTTATGGATTGTCAGGCACTTAGATATGTGGTGATAGAGGCCAGAAATAAGGAGGACCTTTGGCTCTTACATGCTCTTACATTAATCCACAATGTAGTTTGCGTAAGTTATATGACTGATCCATTTTCCTTGCCCATTTAATAATGTATGTATTTTAGGGTGAGGTTTTCCAAGCCACCTAGTGTATTAAAATGCTTTTTTCCCCCTTCATTGCCTGTTGAGTCTCTAAATCAGATTCTTCCTGCTGCTTAAAAAAAAACACCTCTTCCTAAAATGCTTAGAGCTTTTACATAAGGAAATTAAGAATTTGGAGAATAAAAGCCACAAAATGCATATCACAGAGGTATAATTATTATGGCCTGGTGGTTACCTCTCATTTGAGTACATATTGGCCAGAGAAAAGGGAGATGAGAAATCTAGGTCCCAGATTTAAGGTTAGAAGGTACTATTTCTTCTGACACCTTGTGTAGCTCTGACCGCAGATTTCACCTGCCTATTCCTAAGTTGAACTCAGTAACTTGTTTTTGGCTGCTGCACGTTTTTGAGGATGGCAAAAAGTTTTGAAGTGAAGGCCTGAAGCAAATGGGCTGACTGGGTGCTTTGCTGGCTTGTTCTAATGGCAGATCACCTTCCCTGTTAACAATTTGTACTTTATTTCCCCTTTGGATCTGGCTTTAGTTTTGAGTGGCTGGGTCTCATTTTGCCCTTCTCTGCTAGATTAAAGATCCCTTTAGTTAACCAATATTTATTTTTCACGAAGGCACTTACATACTCTTGTCAATTCAATACTTAGGCTTTTTGATAAAGTAAAAAGCTGAGTTCTCCAAGCCTCTTTCTCTAAGTAATTTTTCTACAGCCCTTGAATATTTTTTGTCTGTTTTCTGCACACTCCAGTTTTTCACCTGTGTTCCCTTGTCAATGTCTCTAATGCCCGAGTGTGGTTAAAACAGTCTTCCACTTCTTATTCACCTTCCTCTGTTCATATATATGGCAGTTTCATGAGCTATTCTGCTGTAGGAGATGATGCAGGATTGCCTAGCCACTGTGACCACTGAATCCTTTTCACAATTGCTAGTCTTGGGATGTAATCTTCTAGTCTGTGCACAGAGCCCTTTTGTCCCTTGTTCTTTAATGCATAATATCCTACAAAAATGTATTTTGTTTGTTGGGTTCAGTTCACCAACCATCCTAGCATTTATCACTATATATATAGTGAGGCATTGACCTCACTGCTAATTACTGTTTTCATAATCTTTGGGTTATCCACAAATGTTTGTTAAGAGAAATGTTGGTACTGGGCTAGTACCACCCCATCTGGGGCCCTGCTAGAAGAGGGAGTTTTTGAATGATTTCACTCTGAGGACATTTTTCAGCCTAGTAATTTATCAGATTTTAATCTATTAATGTATAGGTTTTTGACCTTGATTTTAAAATTAACTCTGCAATGTATCATGTGATACTGAAACAAACACCTCAGAAAAGTCTCTTTCATTTATGTTATTTTTATCAACTAAAACTTGTGGTTTCCTCAAAGAATTGTACATGCTTTACTTGCCATGTCTCTGGAGACCCATGCTGGCTTCCATGAGTAATCATTCTTATTATTGCAGCATTTATAAAATGTATCATGGTCAGCACCTTAGAATTGTCCCCTTGAAAGCATCCACGCTACTGAGAGACAATGCAGAGAACCGACAGTGCTATGCTGCCTTTCTTTCTGTCTTCCAAATGAGATCACCCAGAGTTTGTAGTTAAAATGGATAGAGCAGAAGGGGAAGAGATGTATTTAATTTCATTAGGAGTTCCTCAGCTTCCAGTTTGTTATTGGTTTGTCCCTGCCTATCAGTTCACATCCACCACATCTAAGGAATTTTGCCTGACGTGGAAAGTTGTGGCTTTCTAAACATGAGCACTTTGGTCTTTCTCTTGTCTAAGCACTGAATTATTTGTTAACTTTCCAAAAGCTGAACACTATCATTTCAGAACATAAAAAGGCACCATTTGTGAAAATGGCAGCTCTCATGTGCTATCGTAAGAGCTTTGTGTAGCCGGGAGAAAGATGACACACTAATAACACTTCTGGAGCAAGAAAGAATCAAGAGATGATAGGCATCCAGCTGCTGGTGGTCCCACTGTATTGCCAGTAGAGTTTCTTCCTTTTTTTGTAGGATGTTCTTATGCTGGTGGAGGTCTTATGATTCACGCCAGGTTACAAGGGAATCCTAGGCTAAGGCTTCGGCCCAACTAAACAGGTTTGGTGCAGACATTGCTGAACCATTTAGGCCTTCAAGTGGCTCTGTGTCTCAAAGGGTGTGCATTCTGGTTATCTAGTGGAGCTGGGAATCTCCAGGCCACTTGTGAATTAGCAGCTTCCAGGTAGGACAGGCACCATACAAATGTCCAGGCAAATAGAAATAACTGGAAAGTGGTCAGATATTTTTCCCCCTCTGTAACTGTTCCTAGAGATCTGAACCTACATTCCTAGTACTTCTGCTAAGCTAGCAATGCAGAATCAGCCCCCAAATTTGATTTGAAGTTTATTAAAGAAAACTTGGCTGGAAAAATCATTAGCAATTCTCTTTGCTATCTATTGCACTCAAAGGAGAAAGAGCTTGGTCAGGGCATTGGCTTAAACTGATTAATAGAATTGTTTGTTCAAGGGAATAAATATAGGCATCTGAAAGCACATGAATAACAGCGCTTGAGAACATGTTAGGTCTTGATTATTTTCTAACAAATTGTGATGAACTGCAACAGATAAATTAAATGTTTGCTGCACACTAAAATTTTCTTGAAGGTGTAACATGGCATTCTGCTGGCTGATTCTCTGAAATCCAGGTTGCACTCCAGGAGTTAGTGTTTCTTTACTGAGGATGGCGGACCATCTGAAGCAGCTAATTTTCTCATACAGCATGTAACTGGTTTTAATCTGTGATTAAAATATATCGGTATGCGATGAAATAGTGTTAGTCTGAAAAAAAAGAGTGTAAAAGGAGATCTCTGACAACAGGACTGCAGTGGTTTATTCAAAGTAAAAGGCCAGTTAAAGTACTGCCTATATATGGTTACAGGCTTTCAAAGAAAAATGCACCTGTACAATGAGATTAAGGGTTTCTATCATTTCAGAACTCCAGTGTTCAGAGATGACAAAAGAAACGACTCAAGAAGCACCTACAGCTGCCTTATTCACAGCATCCTGAAAATGTCTTTTTGAATTTTACTTCAAACCAAAGCCACAGGAGTTCAGCCCCTCCATTTGCTCATCTGTCCACATGAATGAAGGGAGTAACAGGGCACCACTTTTGCTTCTCAGGTTTGAAATGTGCTTTCAAAGCAGCCTGACATCTCTGTGAGCTAGAAAGGAGCATGGTCCTGTCCAGAGTCATGGACATTACAGCATTTATAGACAGACACACTTAAATCTAAATTTTTGCAAAAAATGAAATTAATGGGGATAGGCTTAAACTGAGTGGGGTGGGACGGAGGGGCTCCAGTAAAGTTTATTCTCTTACTGACAGTGAGAACTTGTGCCCTGTAGGGTTGAGCACTAGAACTCATGTACTCTGCCTTTCTAGGAAAACAAGGGTCCTTAGGCTGGAGAAAAGTGATATCTGCTCAATTTAAGCCCTTATCTCAAGAAAGGGACCAGTACAAGGTAGTTTTGAGGAAGGAGCAAGAACTCCAAGGTGGGTAACATGCAATTTGTAGGAAAATCTGAAATATGTTTCATGCTCTGGCAGCGAGCCGCAGGTTTTTATCAACTCTGCCATATATTTAATAATAATCCCAACTAATATAACTGGGTTATTCTCATTAACCATATAAATACCCAGTCTTCCCCCTTTATTTAAATCCTTAATCTCTTGATCCAGATAATATCTTCTGGTGATGAGAATTGCAGACTGAGCATACACAGATTTAACTGTCTCCTCCATAATGTGAGAGCAGGATCCAAATATTGACTTGTCTGGACAGAGTTGAGTTCAAGCTTGCCAGACTTTCCAGCTATATTAAAGCCCATCTGAATTTTGCCTTCTGTACGCCTAGAGTTTTCCCGCCACACTGAAGAAACGGCATTAAAGAGCTCCTATTTTCTGTAGGGGTTTGTGAGATCATTTTACTAACCAGTTGCCTTGGCTATGAATTGTTGCAGAGAGCAGAGTGTTGAATGACTTTTCAGAGCAAATCCAGGCTGGTTTAAAGAACACAGAGAGGAGGCTGTTTCTTGCTAGTTGTTTGGAGAACAGGGTAGAAAGAGGATCTAATGTAAATCTCACCAGCAGTGTTTTGAGAAAAATCCTGCAAGCTGGAGCATTTAAGCGATTCAATTTCTTCTTTGCTTTTGTTGAAGGTTTTCATAGACTGATGTGACTGGCAGTGGGTACAGCAATAAGAAATACAAGATAAGTACAGTATTCCTCTTCAGGCCAGGCAGGCTGGAGAGGTGTGGTCTCTCATTGCTGTCCTTCAGGATCAGCTCTGAGTCAGTTTGTTACCATGGCAAGTCCTTTAGAACCTACATGTGTTGGTTCACCCAGCTAAGAGCACAGGGCAGATAATGTACATGTGTTTCAGAACATTCAGTTAAATTAATTGCTTTGAGACCAATGTATAAAATGTACGTATTATCACTGTTTTTCTTTCAGGAGCATGGATCACAGTTACCACCATCAGTGAGGCAGGTCCAGGGAAAATGCCTACTCAGTTAATTCATAGGAACATAGGATATGGCCCACACCTAGTAGCATCTTCTTTTAATCAGAGTAGAAAACATTGACTAGTCACCTGAGTTTCTGCCCTTTACAGCCGATGAAATAATTAGCATGTTTGGTGCATCTAGTTCTCTTAAAAGAATCAGTTGTCAAATGTTTCCAATCTAACACCACATCCATGCTGACTGTGCTCCTGCTCTTTGCTACCACAGTTGGGAATGGGATAGAAGTCGCAGGTTAAATATTCAGGTGCAGGTTCAGACAGCAGTAGATATATTTGCTCAGTATGGTTTCTCCTCTGTTTCAGTAAATAACTTCTGCCTTAGACTGAGTGGGTACAAATAGAACCATCCTTAATTAGGCTAAAAGAACACAATGTTTTACCAGCTTCCAGCATCCCTACCAAGCCAGGCTACTACGCCTTGGAGTAAAGTGTACAACAGATGTATCACTGACAGTAGACTTCAGAAGACCATCCAGCACATGACCTTGCAGAAGAATTCTTTTTTGTGTGCTATATTCTCAGCTGGGAAGATTTTTATGGAAACTGAAGTTTGTTAATCTTTAATATAGTTACGTGCAGAGAAGAGAATTCTGCAAATTAGGATATTGGATTTCTGCAGGACAGGGTTTTAGTTAGGAATATTTTGAAGTACCTGGGCTGGAAAAGGTCCAGCAACATTAATGGTATTAGCTGTTTTAGGTCAGAAGCTATGTTCAGACTCTGTACAAAGCAGAGAAAGGTGGAAGTGGACAGGGTGCAGATGTGTACTCTCTTATTGTGTGAAATTTGGGTAGACACATGCATTCTGGGTTAGATGCCAAATCAATCATATTCTGAAAACAAAACACTGTTGGGAGAGGAGCCCATACCTTTTTTTAATAGCATCCCCTCAAGAATTTCTAGCACTTTGCAGTTAAATGTATAGTGGTCCTAATACTATGTGGAATTCAGTAACTGTGCTCTACAGAAAGAGAAATTACTTTACCTACTCATAAATGCAGACATCTCTAGGGCAGGGAATAATTAACAGGGCTCACAGCACCACATAACAATGACAGGATTGAGCACAGGGACTGGCAAGCCCTTCATCTTATTAAAGGAAGTGGTGAGACCTCTATTCTCAACACTCGGCAGGTGGGACAGAGCTTCTCAAGGTCCTATTTGATAGACTGATGCACAGTCACCGTGACTGATCTGCTTCTGAAATAAGAAGCGCTGAATTGACCCAGCGATGAATTTAAGCTCTCATTTTAAGGTGCCAGGCATTATGTATCTGATCCCTGATGCCCTGCTGAGACTCAAGACTGGCAGCACATGCTCTATGGTACTCTGTAGCCTCTGCCCAGCCTAGGCGAGTGCTCCTGGGCTGGCTCTGAAGTGCAGTCCTGGTGATCTCTCGTCTTAAAGCAAGCCCCATTTGTCATGCCCATGCAGTCGCTTGTCTGTGGCTGACACTGGTGGGTTTCTGCTAAATGCCATACTTCAGTGAGTTGATTTCCATACAGCAAATGAAAGAAGATACCACATAATCCAGCTAAGCAAGCGTCTTCCTTTCCAGGTGACAGGGAGGTTTTTTACACTACTGAATCTTGCAAATGAAGTCTTCAGGGAAATGATCAACAGCATGAGACAGGGAAGCTTGCAGAGTGATTGCTGCTTACAGAAGGAGAAGCAGTGTCTGCAGCTGTAGGCTCAGCTTAGTGGCAAATTATGATCTATTGGAGGGAGGAAAGCAAAGCAGCCAGGATAAACCAGCTGAGGTTCTTATTTTTTAACAAGTTTCTTTTTCTGTTTACAGTAGCACATAACAGACTTTCTTCACATGGAGCCCTGTGGGTGCCACTCATTAGCCATTGCTCATATCCTTTCCTCTGAGGTGGCCCCAGAACCCAGGGCAGCCAGGCTGGTGCCAGGCTCACTGCACATCTCTCATTTGGGGCTGTTTGGATGAACCTTGGGGCAGGCAGCTCTTGAGCCTCTTGCACTGCCCGTGAGAGCTGCACATTTGTCTTACACCTCTGTTTCTCTGTGTGTACCGTTAGAAAGTCCCTGCCTTATGTGGCATCTTCTTCCCCCACTGCTTAACTGCCCGGAGATGCTCAGTTAGCCTGATCTGCAGTCCACAGGTGTCTGGATATGAGGCTGTGGGGAGAGAGAGACTGTGGCCCTCTCCAGCAACATGAAGGAGGTTTTCTGAAAAAAGCCAAATGCAGCCTTGTGCTAGCACCCCTACCCTAGGTAGGATGAAAGGAGCCCCACTCCTCTGGGGACTGGTATGTGAAGGGAGTTTCCTATTTGTACCAGCAAGTGGTTGTGCAGCTGAGAAGAGGAGAATTGCTGTTTCCCACTGCCCTGGTCTGAAAGAAACTCCTTCTATTATGGAAAATCCTGAGCACACAGTCCCTGTGGGAGGCAGGAAGCAACAGTGGGTTCAAGCTTCTCCTGACCAGCCTGGTCTATTAAAGAGAAGTTCATGCTGTTTTCTTGCTGGCGCTGGTGTGAATTATAGTCCAGACAGACCTGCTGTCCTTCACTGGAGTTTGTGTCTGGGTAACATTTTCAAAGCTTCAGCATTACCGGGAAAAATAGGTCAGAAGTACCATGATGAAAAGAGGGAGGATTCCTTCTCCAGTAAAAGCAGAGCACAGAAAGAGGCACTTGCATAGCTAATAGAGAGTCAACTTGATGGATAGCATCCTATCCAGGGACTGTGCAGGGCTATGATTATAGAGATAACCAGCAAATTTGGCTTGTTCACTTAGACCACTGCTCCCTACATCTATGCACTGCTTAATGCAACAAACCTCAGTCTGAGTTAGAGCTAAGGAAAGTGTGTTCCTGCTGCAATACAGGTCATTTTTTTAAACGTAATAATCCTACAGTCCCCTTTTCAAAAATCCTTGTCTTTGTCTTTTTCCCTATAGGAAGAGTGCCAGAACTATGTCCGAGTGCTGATTGTTTATGGCAAGAAAGTTTTCACTTGTGGTACCAATGCCTTTTCACCAGTGTGTTCCAGTCGGCAGGTCTGTTTTGCCTCTTTCACAGTGATGGAGAGGGCTGGATGCATGCTTTGGGGAAGCATTTGGCAAGGCATCATGGTTGCAGAGAATATGTTCCAATATGTTCAGCTGATCTAAAATTATTTTGGTTTTCTTCTGTGGGTCCCTTTGGGCTGCTTTGAGGCAGTGGGTGTATCTGCAGGTGGGGAGCAAAAAACTCGTGTTATGGGTGAGCTGGATCTGAACAAAGTGCTGCTTATGTAAACCTTGGTATCCTGCTGAAAATGAGCAATATAGACAAGCTTTGCTGTGAGTACCTCCTGAGCTGAATACTTAAATGTTCCTTAAAATAAAGGGCAAAACTCCCTTTGGCTTAAAGGGAGGCAGGAGCAGGTCCAGAGCAATGTTTACTTTTATATTTTTTTAATGCCAGTATGCATTCAGGTGGTGTCTGTGGAAGATTAGAAGCCTGTGCTGGCAGCAGGAGCACCTGATCACACTGAGTGGGTTGGGGCCTACAGGCTTTATTGGCTATGGAATTGCCCTTCTTACAAAGCAATGGGATTAGCGAGGCTCAGACACAACTTCTTACATTGGCAAACGATGGATGTAAAGATCAATTTACAGTCATCGCTGACATTACATCCTTATTATTTTGGCAAATGATGGATGTAAAAGATCAATTTACAGTCATCACTGACATTACATTCTTATAGCTGCCTCGTTTTTTAAATCAGGGGTTTGCTCTTAGGTGCTTATGGGTAAACAGAATTCTCTATATGAGTAGGAAAGCCAGATGCTCTTTAAATTCTCTTCTCTCCTTTTAAATACAGGTAGGAAATTTAAGCAAAATCATTGACAGAATTAATGGAGTGGCTCGGTGCCCCTACGACCCTCGGCATAACTCGACAGCTGTGATTACATCACGAGGAGAACTCTATGCTGCAACTGTAATTGATTTCTCTGGTCGGGATCCTGCCATTTACCGCAGTCTTGGAAATGTTCCTCCTCTTAGGACAGCACAATACAACTCCAAATGGCTTAATGGTAAAGTCGTGTGAATTACATCTGAGCAAGAGGTGTATTAGAGTCAGCTTGACAGGCTTGTTCTCTCTGTTTTGATATTGAGATCCAGAGTTACGGTGGGGAAGGGCTTCTGGTGCAATAATCTGTGCAGCCCAGAAGACATTTTAAAATAGCCTGAAAGTATTTCAGAAAGATTGATCCAGAATACAGAGAGTAGGTCTTACAGGCTCCTTAACATGTATATGGGTGTCTGTCTTGTGAGATGACCAAATACATCATTTTAACAAGAAAAATACTCGAAGATTTGAAGATCAAAACTAACTCAAAGCACCACATCATATTGTTGACTCAGTTTTGCACAGTGTTAAGCACCCGCTACTCTTCCACTGCCTCACCTGAAGGTGGTTGCTTTCAGCGCAAAATCAGTCCAAAAATGAGAAATTTCAGAGCACATTATGTTCCATGTGAACCTATGCTGTTGTGGATTTATAGTTATTACAATCAGCTGTTACCCCAGTGTGATAATACCCTGCATCAAGCAAGCTATAGAATTTCAACTAGCAATGTCTGCACTGAGTTCACACCTTCTGACTGGGGCAAAGCACATCTTGTCTGCGCAGACTGTAGGGATGGAGACCCCAATATCCCCTCTCTATCCTTTGACCCAGGTAAGTTGACAAGATATTCAGAATCTGTCTGTTGGATTTCAGGACCTTTCAATCAAAGATAAGAGCAGTGGGACTGTGAACTCTCTGCAGCTTAATGAGACTGAAGCAGGCTTCTGCAGGCATACTGAAGTCAGTATGGAGATTGGAGTTTTAGACAAAGGATGTTGTCAGGCCAGACTGAATTAGAACCAAGAAGCAGCATAACCTATATATACTCGTTAGGAATATGTGCCTCTTGTCTGAGCATGAATGAAGAATTCAGAAGGAAGCCACATTGGAACAGGGGAGTTAAAGGAAAGACAAACAGAAGCAGAGTTTCTAGTCTGTGACTGGAAAAACTACCATGGCTCTTGGATTTATACCCTTGTGCAGCATTGGTAACATTGGAGTAATTTCGTCCTGTTCTGGCCGCTTTTCAACAAGAAACAGAAAACTTGAAGATGATTCAGAGAAGAGCCATGCGGTGATTTGAAGCTTGCAAAGCCTGCCTCACAGTGAGAAACTTAAGGAGCTCAATTTATTTATCTTTCTGAAAAGGAAATAAAAGGTGTTTTGCTCATGATGTGGAAGTACTTACCTCAAGAGAAGATTTCTGGCAGGATAAAGTTCTTTAATCTATCTGTCAAGTCATGACAAGAGCCTGTGATTGGAAGCTGAAACCAGATAATGTCAAATGGAAAAAGAAGTACAGGTTGCAGCTGGGGCAGTCTTTAGTCATTTGAACAAGTCACTGGGGAAAGTGATGGATGTAAAGTAATGTGACATCGCCCAGTAGGATCAGATCTCCTTTGAAAGATGTGGTCCAATTCACCTGTTAGTCAAAGGATCCGATGGTGGAATTACAGGGTGAAATTCTCTGGTGTGTGTTAGATAGAAGGTCAGATGGTAATGACAACAGTCCCTTTAAGGTTCACTGTTTGTTTGAAGAAGAAAGTTTGGTGGGTGATGCTTTGCAGTGCCCTCCACTCTGTATCATCATCTGCCTTCCAAACCTGCCTTGCAGCAGCACCACCTGGCCTTCCTCTCCCTCTGTCAGGGCTCTGGTCTCCTTTCACTCCTAGGCTGCAGAATTAAAGGAATTCTGTACTTTCCTCTTTTCTTCTTCTTCTTTGAGCATTTCTCAGAAATGAACATTAAAAAAGCACCCTATAAAACCAACAGGATTTTTTTTGTTTAGTCAAATATTATTCATTGGCTGATCTTTTCCTTTTGCCAAAGAAACTGTTGGGATAAAAGACTGTATACTTTAAAGCTTTGTAAAATACCCAATTAAAATACTCACTACAAAACCAATTCCAGGTTCTTTCCAATTCTTCTGAAAATAATAACAATAATTCTAGGAGAAAAATAATTAAGGAGAGCTTGTTTTCAATACTGTCGGTCTGTGGCACAGTTTTGTTTTATGGACGTAAGATAATCTTTTGTGTCTAGAAACTGGAAAAGCTTTATGATAAGAGCCAGATGTGATTGCGCTGGGAGAGCAGGTTGCATGTTTCAGTGAGCAATCTAGGGAATCCAGTGGATGCACACAGCATATTTAACACATTGTAAGGTGCACTTCAGAAGTGAACAGGTGAAGGAACCCAGTGGGAAGGCTTACGCTTTGTGTTGTAAAATGAGTATAGGTACAGAGAATAGTCATGCATATGCAAAGTGCTGAACACTGAAATCAGTAGCAACTTTGCCAATAAAGTTGGGAAACAATGACGTCTTTCCAAGATCTGAAGTATGGAACTAGAGCTGTATCCCCATACATCATTATTTCCATCTGCTGTTTTTATGTCCTCTGCTGACTCCAAACTCCCTCTGGTCCCAGCTTTGACAGCCTGCATGAAGGGAGCTGGTGGCACAATGCATTGAGCAGGTCAGTGAGCACGGATTGATTTCTGACTGGTATAAATCTTTTCAAATGTTGGGTTTGTTTGTTTTTTTCCAGAGCCTAACTTTATTGCTGCCTACGACATTGGTTTGTTCACCTACTTCTTCTTCCGTGAGAATGCAGTAGAACATGACTGTGGGAAAACAGTTTATTCTCGTGTGGCGAGGGTTTGCAAAAATGACATCGGAGGAAGATTTTTGCTGGAGGACACATGGACAACTTTCATGAAAGCCAGGCTGAACTGCTCCCGTGCTGGAGAAATCCCTTTCTATTATAATGAATTGCAAAGCACCTTCTACCTTCCTGAGCAAGATCTGATCTATGGTGTCTTCACTACTAATGTGTAAGTTGCACTTGTTTCACTGCCCTTCTTCTATTCCCAGCAGTCTGAGACTGACAATATCCTGATTTCTTAGATACTCTGAGTAATCATTTTTGAAAGATCCTTTGGTTAACTTGAAGGAATAGATAGGTCTGTGTTATCCGTCATGGGAACATAGCCTTTAGAACAATGTTTTTTAATCCATGGTTCATAGATTCCCGGAGTCCATAAAAGGTGATTGTGCAGTTCAAGGGTAACTTAATTTGATATAAACCTGGGCTGTGACAAGCTTCTGGCTTTCTGTAGTACCAATGCTGCTTGTGTAGTTCAGAGACCTGGTCTAAAAACGACCTGACAGAAAAACATAATTACATTTCAGCCAGGCTAACTGTTGGGACACTGACACAGTTGTGTGAACATGGGGCCTGGCCATGAGGTGGACAGGTACATATGCTTGAGAGAGGAGGACTGGAGGGAAGAGAATGAGGCAGCTGGGATCACAACAGCCTGGACTGAAATCGGCAAATTGTCGTTGAACAACACTTTATAGTAGCAAGGTCATGTGGGGTACACAGCATTTGACATTTCCCAGGGGGACTGTACCTCTGCTATAGATTGTTTCAGGTCCACAGATCAAAAGCAGTGTTAAACTCTGAGAGGAATGTATGATTTCTGAAACTTCGTAATCACCTTTTCTTGGCTTGATATTGAAAAAACTTGCAATCGGAATGATTTAGTGTAGCTGTGAAAGCACAAAGGAGGACTTAATTAAAAAACATATTAAAAAACTCATAATGTATATTTTTAAGTCAGGAAAACTCAAATAACTTTTTCTCTGAAGCCCAAGGCTAGGATGATAAGTTTCAAGCTACAACCGGTCTGCATGGTATTGAGTTTCAATAATACATGTTCTCCAGGGGGGTGTTACCCTGATGTGTAAACTAGCAAATGAAAGTCTGAGTTAGTTACTCCACACGACAAACACTCTAAGTACCTTCCTCATGCTGCATAGCCAACTTCTTTGGGGTTTTTGCGTGCAGTGCAGTACTGTTCAATGTGAATAAGGGTCTGTTCCCAAGAAGCCTGCAGCAAACCAAAGTGAAGCCCCACAGGCCTTCCTATTTTAATGTGTTGCTTGCTGGTGTGACAGGGCCTGAACTTCAGCCCTTGAAGTCACAAAGCATCAGCCCCAACTTCTTGAGCTAAAACACTGTTGGGAATTTCACTGTGATAGTCAACATAGCCTGAATGTTATTCCCGTTCTGTAAACACTTACCTCCTCTGCCAGGAAGTAGGTAAGTGTTTGGCCCCCCTCATCCATCTTCCATGTTTTGCTTCTGCGCTAACATTGCCAATGTCAGCCAAAAGTGAGTCAGTGGAGAAGCAACTACAAAAAATAAACATGACTGAGCACTGCTCCTTGACTGCAGACTTTGGGGAAAATCTGTCCTGGGATTGAAAGTAGCGTGAGTTGTTCTCTAAGAACATTTAGAGAATGTTAGCCAAACATCGTGAACATGAAAAGGAAACCTGGCTACTGCTTTGGGCATTTGAGATTATACTGGGTTTTGGGGGGGGGTTCTGTTTGTTTATTTGTGGGTTTTCTTCAATCAAAGAGGACTTCTATGCCCATAATAATAATGTTTTAGCTGTCCATTTTTCCATTCATCCAGCCAAGAACAGAAGTTGGAAATGAGAAAATTATTAATATCTGTATTATATTTATCAAATCAGTACAACTAGTTTTTAGACTACAAGGGGGGAGACATAGGCTGGCTGTGGTTGGAATACTTCTGCTGTGTCTGTCTCCCAGGTTTAATGTGAGATGTGATGAGTGTTACCTGTCTCCTTTGGGTTACATTTCATACATTAGGGATGTACATTCTCTCTTGTATCTTCTGAGGACAATAGAATATGTAACATTTGTGTAATTGAAGAAATAAGTTATTAATAATAGCTGAAGTTAGATCAAGTAGCATTTTGGGTCTACAACATGATGTTCTTTCGAGAGTTCAAAGAGAAAATGTTGCAATTTGTCATCTGACTAGAGAAAGAACGGTAACTATTGTTTTAACTTCCCCTGGGACTTATATCCTGCTGCATGAGCTCTGCATACCAAAGAGGGTTGCTGTATGCTCCAGTCTGAGTTTCTTTATAATAAAACACCAGTGCATCACAAAACTTCTCTTTTTTTTATTCTTTTTTTTTTTTTTTTCCCCTTAAAGGTATTTTTGTTTTGGGAAGGCCATGTTTAATGTATGTAGGGTCATCTTGTAACAAAGGGGTATTAGTGGCTGTGGTAACACCCACATACAGACCTATTGTTTCATGTTATGTTATACCCAGCTGAATCAGA